TGATTGGCGGACCTGTGCGCGATCGATCTTGTGTATCGACATTGACAGTCGACAATCGGTGAACAAAACTATTGCCGGCTTGGCGAAATTGTTACGCGGAGTGTCAGCGTGTGCCTCATTCGGTTGCTTGGATTGGCTTTGCAAATATCTGTATGAACCTTATGCATGTTAAATTGTATGTGTTTCTTGTGTCAGGGCTAGTTTAAGCTGAATTCACATGCAGCCTACGTGCTTCAAGTGTAGAAAGTCGATCGCTCATAGGTCGATTGAGTGCAGCGGGTGTAGCAGGGTGTTTCATCCTGGTTGCATTAGGTCTTACTCAGTGTCAAGATACGCTGACTCGTGCTGTATATCTCTATTATTATCACTGGATATACCCCCTCTTACACCTACAACTGATAACACTGCGCGTGTATTTGAGTTTGATAATATGGCCTCTTCTGCTGACTCGCGTACTCAGTCGGCCCCACCGCCTGCGACGAATGAGCTTTTGTTAAGTCTGATCGAGCAGATGAAGCTGTCTGACTCAAAGATCTCTGCGTTCATTGAGAGTCAGCAGCGAACTAATGAGGTAATTAACAGTAAGCTCGATCTGATTAATAGCTTATCCGAGACCGTAGCTAATAACACTCAGCGAATTTCCTCCTTGGAACTCGAGAACGCGGCCCTTAAGAGGGAACTGCATGAGCTAAAAACGACTCGCTTGGATCGGCAGGATGACAATGCCAGTGAGATTATTGTGTCTGGGTTGCCGGAACCGCTTTCTGTTGCTCCTTCTGCAGTTGCTCGTAACGTGCTGGTAGCGCTCGGTGCTCCAGATATTTCGCCTCATATCCTGAACGTAAGAGCTGTCCGTAGATCTCTCCCTGACTCTGCTTCTACTCCTTCTAGTGCTTCTGTAGTTAAGAACTCGCTCATTATCACTGTGACCTCCAACTCTGTCCGTGATTTAATAATATCGAAAAAACGAGCTAAGGGTGTCCTTAGGCAGGGAGAGGTTTGCGGAAATGACTCCAAAACCGTCGTTCACATTAACGAACTACTCTCTAAGGATTGCTATGAGTTGCTGCAACAGACAAAGCGTTTAGCTAGGGAGCGGGCATTTAGGTATGTTTGGGTGAGGCATGGACGGATCTGCGTGAGACAGTCTGACGGTTCGTCTATTATATACATTGATTCTAGTGCAGATCTGACTCGCCTTGATTGACCGTGCCGGACACATTCGCAGAAGCGATCAAGTCGTAACGAATCTGAATTTCGAGTTGCGCAGTTCAATGCTAACTCCCTTTGTGGTCACATTGAGCTTGTCAGGCTTCACTTCGAGTCTAACCCGTATCACATTGTCTCAATTTCCGAAACTTGGCTTCATGGGGGTATTTCAGATGAGCTTGTGGCCTTAGATGGCTATTTTTTGATTCGCCACGATCGGGTTGGACGTATGGGTGGGGGCGTAGCCTGCTACATCCATCACTCACTCAAGGCTAGGCTGATTGCGACCTCTGCAGCAACTCATATTAATGCCCCTGAATTTCTTATGATCGAGATTCGACTGCCATGTAATGAAACTGTCTTATTTGCGTCAGTATACAGAAGACCGAAGGGATTTCTCCTTCATGATTTTGCTCAAGCACTTACTAATGTCTCACATCTCTACAAGAACATCATCATAGGTGGCGATTTAAATTGTAACCTACTGACAAATAGTTTTGAGGCTAACTTCCTGCGTGATCTCATGTCTGGTCTATCCATGAGTATTATTCAATCCGACGCCACTTATCATACGGCTACCTCTGACTCATGGCTAGATGTCCTAGCGGTGGATGATTGTGAGAAAGTCCTTAGATTTTACAAATCCGAATGCCCGTTCATTGCGGGACATGATCTAATTGAACTGTCGCTTTCACTGGGCACGAAGTTAGTCGCAGAACGTACCATGTTAAGGCGCTGTTATCGAGCTATCGATGCTGATGAATTCCTTGACCATCTTCAGTCCTTAATTGAGAGTCCTGAGGTTTTGGCTTGTGTTAGTGCTGCCTCTGATTGCGGTAATGTTCGTTGCGACCAATCGTCTGCGTCTCTAGTTGATAGATTCTGCTCTGTACTGTCTGAGACTGTTCTCAATACTCTTGATGTGGTTGCACCAGAGCGTGTTTTTATCATTAATAAGCCCCCTGTGCGGTGGCTTACAAGCGATCTTAAGTCCAGAATTCGCATTCGCAACCAGGTTTACAAGCGTGCTAAACGTTCAAACAGCATACTTGGTTATTTCTTATACAGACAATTTCGTAACCAGCTCAATTTGGATATTAAACGTGCCAAAAGTGAGTTTCAATTTAACTCTCTTAAAACCATCACCGACCCTGCAAAATTGTGGAGAGAGTTGGCACGTCTGGGTCTTGTGAAGTCTTCTTCAGTATCTCCTCTACATTATTTTACACCTAGTCAATTGAATGCACACTACGTTTCTGTTTCTGATGCTCATTCGCCTTGCTTATATGAGGACTTTATTTCTGCTATTGCTCGTGTCACTTGTCCATCCGAACGTCCTGAGTTTGCTTTTTCTGCGATTACGCCTCTCACGATCTTTCAACTTATTTCTGCGAGACCACTTCATTCCTATATGCAGCAGGTGTGGATGGTATTCCTCTCTACATATTGCGTGGCCTGTAATTTCGTCTTGTTTAACTGCTCTTTTTAATTACTCCTTAGAACAGTCATCCTTTCCGTCTCAGTGGAAGAGGGCGCTCATTCGCCCTCTCTCGAAGACTCGCATTCCCTCATCCCCATCTGACACGAGACCGATTGCAAACTTGCCTGAGTTGTCTAAAATACTTGAACGTATTGTTGCCTCACAGATTGCTGACTATTTAACTAAGCATAATCTTATCAATACGAGACAGTCAGCTTTTCGTCCGTATCATAACACTCAGTCTGCGCTTTTGCGTGTGTGTGACGATATAAAGAAAGCGATTGACTCTGGACTTGTTACAATCATGATCCTTTTCGATTTTAGCAAGGCGTTTGACACAGTACCACATCTCAGACTTCTGATTAAACTCAAAGAATTGGGTTTTTCTGACCCCACTCTTATCTGGCTTTTCTCATACCTTACCGGTCGCTCTCAGGCTGTCGCTGATGATGAGGGTAACCTTTCCTCTTGGCTTATTACTCTGTGTGGTGTTCCGCAGGGCTCTGTCCTCGGTCCACCTTTGTTCACTCTTTACATTAATGACATTGGTACAGTCTTGATATATTCCGATTACATGATATTTGCTGACGATGTTCAAATTTATCGTTCATGTGCTCTTTCTAATCTCCTCCACAACCTTAACTTAATCTCCAAAGATGCAAACGCTATCTTCGACTATGCAAATGTCAATGGTTTGAAACTGAACCCTGCAAAATCCAAAGTCATTATTTTTGGCAGTGGAATAAATATCAACAATATTGATTTGAATGCATTACCACCTATTATTGTTAACCACACGCCTTTGCCATATGTAAGTGAGGTGAGAAACCTTGGAGTTTGTTTCGAATCGAATCTCTCTTGGAATAAGCATGTCTCGCATGTCTCGCAGAGAGTTCATCATGCGTTGTATAAACTGAAATTCAGTAAGAATTCTCTTTCCACCGAACTTAGAATCAAGCTGGTAACATCTCTGGTACTACCCCACTTGGACTACTGCTGCCTTGTCTATCATGGCTTGAGCAAGGAACTTAATCTGAAGTTACAGAGACTTGTAAACTGCTGTATCAGATTTATCTTTAATTTGCGAAAAGACGAGCATATAACGCAATATCGACGACGCCTAGGGTGGTTGTCCGTAGAAAATAGAAGATTGTATTTTCTTGGCTGCCAAATGTATCGTATCATCTACATGGGCTCGCCAGCATATCTGAGTGAACTTTTTACCCCACTTAGCCCATTGCTCAGAAGATCCACTCGAATTGCAAATTGTTCTTCGCAAACCTTCCATATCCCAGCTTTCCGAAGGGAAATATATAGAAATTCCTTTCTGATATCGGCCATCTATTTTTGGCACTCTTTCCCGGACAATATTACATCAGCAACTACTATTGCAGCTTTTAAGAATCTCCTCCGATCCTACCTGCTGTCATCCGAATTCTCAGACTAAGTTCCTTGATATTTTAGCGTGTAGTTGTGTATAGAGTACTCGTAGTATTCTCTTCTCCTAGTATTACCTGCGTTCGATTTAGTTGCATTGTGTTTCTTTATTTTGTTTGCTTGTAGATTATGTGCTTTTCTAGTATTAAGTTGCGTTTAAATTTAAGTTGCGCGTGTCACTGTATTTTTATTTTTATTTTTTATATTTTGTATATTACTATATTTTGCTATCTTTGCCCTTTAGCTATGCTTGGGCATAAATATACTTATCAATCAATCAATCTCTCTCTCTCTCTCTCTCTCTCTCTCTCTCTCTCTCTCTCTCTCTCTCTCTCTCTCTCTCTCTCTCTCTCCCTTCTCTCTCTCTCTCTCTCTCTCTCTCTCTCTCTTTCTTTCTTTCTTTCTCCTTTTCTGTCTCCTGCTTTACCTCTTGTCCGTCATCTTTAACTTTATCATCACATCTAATCGCGGAGAAAAATCATTACGAAGAAACATGTTATCACCAACTTAGGGGGACGTTAGAAAGAAACAAAGGATAAGTTAACCTGAGGTTAAAAGTTAACCGACGTTTGTGGAACTGGCTCTTAATCGTCGACGAGATACATGCAATATAAGTTTAATTATTATTTTAAGGCTCACCTGCCTCTCTTTCTATTTTTCTCTCTTTTTCTCTTTCTTTCACTGTCTCTTTCTTTTCCTCTTGTTCATTATCTTTAATTATATATGCAATATCTAATCGCAAAGAATAACAAAATCACGAACAAACACGCGATCATCATCTTCATCGTAGACAAGTTGCACACAATATAAGTTTAATTATTATTTTAAGGCTTACCTCCCTCTTATTTTCTCTCCCTCACCCCCTCTCTCTTTGCCTCTCTTCCCCTCTCTCTCCCCCTCTCTTTCTCTCTTTCTCTGTTTCCTTTTTTTTTTCTTTGTCTCTCTCTACTCTTCTTTTGTTCCTTTCGTTTGTATCTTTATCTTTGTCATATCTAATCACGGAGAACAAAAAAAAATTACAACCCACACGCTATCACCTGTGTCATCGTCGACGAGTTACGCACAAT